TCTCTCCAAGCGCAATCACGCTTGTGAGGGCAGGCCAGACATGTCAAGCATGGGATTTGAGACTGAAAAGACAAAACGTCCAAGGTAATAAAAAATGTGCTTCCCCCTCCAGGGAGAATGTACAGAATTATTTTGATGATCAGAAATAATTTATTGATGGGAAATGAGATGCTATGTAAGGAAATTCACCATTAGTCCCAATAGTTTGTGCTGTGAGTTGCTCAGGAATCTCCAAGCACATGGAATCCTATGGCTCAGCTCAACAAGAGCCACACCAAGCGGGGGTCAGCATTTGGCTTTCTCAGGGGAAATGTTAATCAGGACCTGCTGAAGGTCCTTTAAACAGCCAGTGTTTTATGACAGGATGGGATATGAGTGAACCTACTCCAGTCAGTGCTTCCATGGGGTGGAGAAGGAAATACTGATGTGTTTTCAGGCACTGGTGAGGTCAGAAGAACTTTCAGAGCCTGACCATGAGAAATGCCAAGTGAGAGTCCCAACAAGACATGGGATCAGCCTGGTCAGTCCTCTCCTAAGAGGTCTGGAAGGAAAAAAAACTATTTAAAAAAAAGAGGGAAAGGGCTCAAGATTGATGAGGTGGGCAATAGCTCATATTTACATATCTGGGGCCTCTCTGACAGCAGAAAAAATAAGTTAGCCCAAAAAATAGAAATCTAATCTACATTCACTTCCCAGCTTGTCAGAAGGCCTCGGTGCAGAGCAGCCCCTCTTGGCTGCACAGGGGTGTCCTACAGAGGGACCCCACCAATAAATCTGTTTGATTTCCTGTTATGAGAAGCAGACAAAGAGATATGGCCAGGGATGGGCAGAGCTGTCTGCACAAGGGAAGAGCCTGTGCTTTCACCCCAGACTCAAACCCACCCTGTCTGAGGTTAGTGAAAGTTCAGTTCACTTTGGGGCTTTTTTCCCGTTCTTTCTCCTTTCCGTGCCTTCCCGTGGGAGCTGGAAGGAGACAGGACAAAGCATTTCTTTCCTGCTGGCAACGAGCAGCCCTGAAAGTGTCACAAAAAGTTTGCTCTTGAAAGATTTCCAGTCTGAGGGTGTGATCTTGTGGCCCCTCCAGATGTGAGTAATGCCGTGACATTTTTAATGGCATTCACCGTGGTTGGTGAGAATTTCTTGGCATTTCTCTCCAAGTGTTTTCCCCACACCACTCCTTCCTCACTCTCTTCTCCCCTCCATCCAGTGCACATTACACACACAGAGAAAAGGAAAGACTTCAGGTGAAAAAGATGTTTTTTTCCCAAAGCCCTGAGGGACTGGTGACTGCAGCTGCTTGAAAAGGTTCCTCTCAGGAAGGGACATTACCCCTCCAATTCCATTTTGTCCACAGTCCAGGACTGATCCTGATCCTGAAGCCAAGATGTGACCAAGAGATGTTCCATGGCATGAATTTCCCAGAAGTTTAGCAGTCCCCAACTTGAAAGGGGATTAGGATGAATGTGGTAGCATTGCAATGTGTTTTGTGAAATACCACAACCAGTACCCTTGTTTCTGTGAAGGAATATTTTCAGAACTGCTGGGAAATCCCCAGAACATCAGGAGCCTCACTGGATCATCACTTCTCCCAACAAAATGTTTCAAAACCTTTTATGGATGTAAATTTGCTCATTTGAATTTCGTGGATTTTTTGTCTTTAGAGAGACCCAAGATCTATGAAAAGGAAACAGATTTTGATAAGGTTGTGAAGGTGGAATTGAGAAGCAAACAGGAAATCCAGTGCACAGCAAGTGGGAATCCTGAGCCAAGGATCGAGTGGAAGTGGCAGCCCTGCAGCCTCAAAGACACCCTGTAAGTGACTTCCACATGGATGAACATGTTCCTCAATTGTTGGGTATTTCCAGCCAGGTTTTCTTTCCACTCCATCCTAATTATCTGAACTAAAATCACAAGCAGAGTGAAGATCTCCAGGGTTCTGAGCCCAGCTGGCATCTGGTTGTGTTTGTGCACCTTGTGCATTACCTGAATTGTGTTAAATAAGTTTAAAGTGACTAAAGATCATTGATTTTCCTTTACCTTGACCAGCAATGCCCCTCTGACTTTCCTTAGCCCTGGTGAATGCTGTGAATGTTTGACAAAGGAAAACCAGCAGGATGTGTGGGCAGAGCTAACACACCTTTTGCCCTGCAAGAGTTTTTTCCAGACAAATCTGCTGAAGGCTTGGCTTCCTTAAATCCATATGGGATTCATGGCACTTCCCAAGGGCTGTCTTCACTCTGCACACTGGGCTCAGGCTCCTGTGGCAGCCTTCCTGAAGGTGGTGTCCCTGAAGCTGGGAGAGGGAATTGTGTCTTACTGGGGACCCTTCTGTGCTGCAGGCTGAGGTGTGAACATGCAGCAAAGTCACTGGGTCAAAGCTGCTGGAGAGGAAGGGGCCAGGGAAAACCAGGATGCCTTTGGAGATTTGCCTAAGGAGACATTCCCTTTGCTCCTGCAGCTCCCTGAGCAGAGGGGTCTGCAGAGGAAGGCCTGGGCTGATGCCCATTGCTTCCCTGGTAGCCCCTGGGCACGTGCAGGAGCCAGGTCCTGCACAATTCTGACCACTTCAGCTCCTCCCTGCAGTGAGAGAGATAAAATCACTTTTCCACCCATTATAAAAATGAAGACAGATCTAGAAAGCAAGGGAGAAAAATGCTGCATAGTGCCTTATTTTCTCACTCATTTGTTGCTGTGAATGGCAAGCCATGAGACAGGGAAATCAGGGAGAATGCTTCCCCAGGTTTTCTGTACAGCACAGGGATGCTGGGTGATGCAGCCTCATCTTGGGAGTGCCCCTGTGTGCTTGCCCAGGGAGGTATCCACAGTTACACTGCTCCTGGGGGATAACCTCAGGGATTTGATGGCACTGTGGGCACTGCAGGGCAGCAGGAGGCACAGGGCTCTGCTTGGAAGGGGTTCAACGAGAGCAGGGTGGAATCACCACATGGAAACAGGTTCTGCATCCTCTAGGAAAACCACAGAGGTGACCCAAAATCTTTTCCAGACCTTTCTGTCTAGGGGGAGAGAATTGGCCATGACTGCTGAATTCAGCCAGATCCAAACCAGTGACCTGGTGGCAAAGGACCTCACATAACCCTTGTTGCAGCTTTCTGGCTCTCTGATCTTATCAATTTAAATACAATTGCAGAGTGGCTCTACCTCTGCTGGCCCCAGGGGCAGCCTTATCTTGCTGCAGCAGAAGCTGGAGGAGGATTCCTGTGGGAAATGACACAGCCCCCATTTCCTTCTGTTGTCTGACTTCCTCTCTCTCTCTTTCTCTCCCCCCACTCTGCCTCAGCAGTGCCCTTTGAATCCCTGAGCACCAGCATTGTTCCTTAGAGCTGGGATGTGATTTTACTTCCTCTGAGCTTTTCCCCTTCATCCTCAGGACAGGATTGTGCCTTGCAGGAAGTCCCTCAAGATCTTCTAATTAGACCCTTCTGAGAGCCTCAACCCCCTCCCTGGCCCAGGGTGTTGCCCCTGTTCTTTGTGTGGCTTTGGCAAAGGCACAGCTGATTTATGGAGGGATTTTCTGCAGCATCAGCCCTTGATCAGCACCTATAAAAGGCCATTTTACCTCCTGAGACCCCGTGGTGGGCTCAAATCCTTTGCATTTGTAGGAATGAGAAGAGCTGTGTGTCTGCTTATTCTTACCAAGCTGAGGAAAACAGGGAAGTTTTTCGCCCTGGGTGGTGCAGCTGGACCTTCCCACATGACGTGTCCCACACTCTGCTCCTTGCCCATCTTCCAAAATGAAGATTGATACGTGTCTTCTGTGGAGTGGGCAGCATTAAAGGGACCTTCTGCAGTTCTATCCCAGTATTTATCCATTCTACTCCCTCAGCCCACACTTCCTGTTGGAAGCTGAGCATAAGCAGACACTCGGCAACATCCACCTCCCCACAGTTTGGAGTGACTGGCATTTTGAATTTGGAAATATAACTTATATTAGCCAGATAAAACTCACATGATTTAATTAATTGCCCGGTATTTTCCATTTCTAATCTTTGCAAAGACTGGGGGGTTCATTGCTGGTCATGCACTGATTTTGTTTGCCTCTGTCAAGGTGCCTTGTAAATAATTTGGAAATGTTGCAAAGAAGGAACGGAGGGATTTCACAAAGATGTAACAGACTCCAGCAGCTACAGTTGTTAGGAGTATTTAAGACCTAAGATTATTGTCTAAAATTGACATTTTCTCACTCCAATACACCTCCCTGCTTACCTTGAACACCATCTCTGCTTTTCCACCTCCAGGTGCAATCCTCAGGGGCCAAAAGTTGTGGTTTCAGAGAACACAGTCATAGGAAACAAGATCAGGAGCATTGAGAACACCCCCATGAGGCAGGGGGATAAACCAAAGGTATGTGTGGGATGGCCTGGGGATGATGTCAGGGGATGCTCACCCCCAGCTCATGGTTCCCAAGCTGCTGAGGGTTCTTTGCATGCTTGGAATTCCCCAGCACTGGGATCATCCCAGATCTCTGCTGCTTACAAGTGCTGGGGTTTGGGAATGATGTCACCCACCCTATTTAAACTCTCCCAAGACTTCTGGGTCAAAACCTTCTGTGTCTCCTTCAGTCTTGAGAAAGTGTGAGAGTGGCTCCGTTTGAGGGGTGCCATGATGTGAACGCTGATAAGGACTCTGAGTTCATGAAACACTTGGAGAGCTCTTGGTCCTGCCCCCCCTTTGTTCTGCCCCCTTTGTCCTGGCCCCCTTGTCCTGCTCCACTTTGTCCTGTCCCCCTTTGTCCTGGCCCCCTTTGTCCTGCCCTGTTTCCTCCACTCCCAGCAGCAGGAGCTGACCAGGTGTGGTCACAGTGCCACAGGTACTTGCTCTGATTTCCAGAGTGTGCAGGTCTCAGGTTGAAGCCACTTCCCTGGAACAATGAAAGAGGGAAAACCTTCCTTGGACACTTCCCTGCCTGCTTCCCCCTTCCAACAGCCCTGGGATCACCCTACCTGTGTGAGCTGCAGAAATCCCAGCAGGATTACCTGTTCAGTGTCCCCCAGGTGCCTGTGGTGACACTGGCTGATGTTCCACATGTCCAGGCTGGGAATGTGCAGTGGATCTGGGGCCTCCTGGCTCTGCTGGGCTCTGGCTGGGATTACCTGCTGGACTTGCAGGGTTGCTGGCTGCAGGAGTGGGTTTGCAGCTCCAGGTTTGGAGGTGGATGTTCCAGATGGTTCAGTGTCTGATCCTGCAGGGTGCTGGATCCAATCCTGGTTCACCTTTGAGCATGGGAGAATCCTTGAGTTAGTCCCGTGCTTAAAGTTAAGCACAAAGCTAAAGTGCTCTTCTGGACTGGGTCCAGACTAAATCAGCATCTGGCAGGATCAGTGCTTCAGCCATCTGCTCTTTCTCAGGAGACTTTCCAGTTCTAAACATAATCCAAACCAGAGCTCTGAAAACATGGAGCTTGGGCTGGGAAGGAGAAAATCAGTGTTCGCCTCTCATTCCTGAGTTTTTCAACTGCTGGGAGATATTTATAAATTGGATTTATTTAGATGGCATAGTGCCCCTTAAGCTCTGGCTTTAATGTATTCCTTAAGAATTTTACATCTTAGGTAAAAGCCATCCCCTAAAAGTGCTAATTGTTTATAAAAACAGAGGTTGGTGACATTTATCTTCAAAGTTTCTTCTTTTTCTATGACTTTTTGGTTGCTGCATGGGCTGACAAGAGCTTTGAGACTCTCAGAGCTACTGTTTGTCTCCATATATATTATATATATATATATATATAATTAGCTTTTACATATTTCATGATTCAAGTTAGGAGCTACATAATTTTACAATTTATAGGATACTCATTCTTTTTCTGCCTGGCTGAGAACACAGTCTGAGGTGTTTCCTATTAATTCTTATGTCCTGATTAAGATTTATTCAAATTAATATAACTAAGTATAGGAATCGCATGTTTCACTCACTGCTTACATTGCAGACAGTTCCTCTCTTCCCCCTTTCTGAAGTTCAAGATTCTGCGTTAATTGGAGTCTTTCTATTAAGGAATATGATTTTTTAAAAAGTCTCTGAGGAAAAAGTCTTCAGACTTTTCCTAGAGATTTTATCAGTCCCATTCCCACCAGGAATGGAACAGAGAGGAACCAGCCCAATCCATTCCCACCATGTCCCAGCAAGTAATTCACCTACACTCACCAAGGAGATGAAAAAATAAAGATGCTGGAGTCTGAATTTTCAGGAACTGTGTTAGGAACCTGGGATTAGCTGGGGATTTTCCTGTGGGATTTGAGCTGTCCCATGAGCACTGGAGTCTTGGGCAGAAGGTGGAATTCAGCTGGGCTCTGGGATTTGTCAGCACCCAAGAGTTCACCCATGGGAGCTGAGGCACCAAAAGCTGGTCCAGCCACATGTGGAAACTTGCATTAACTGATTAGAGATGCTAAAAATATGGAATAACTCCCCTGGAATCACCAGATCCAGAAATTTGCCCAAAGCAAGCTGGCAGGGCAGCAAGCATGGGTTTTTCCAGCAAACCCCTGGTGCTCTTTGATCACATGAAGCTCTTCAGACATCTCCTGACAGAAGTGCCATGTAAAATTGAGCTCTCTTGTCATCATCCTCATCATGATTATTCCATGAGTATTCTACAGACAGAAAAGTGAATTTCACCTCCTCCTGCCTTCCTAAGCCTGAGTCTCACTCCTGAGGAAAAGCACAAGGTTGTGGTTCAGGTATTGATGCACTTCAGTAAAGTTTTGGTCAAACAGTGACCAATGAAATGGTCACACAGTTGAGGCAGTTGCACTGTGATAGTTTCATTTTCCCTGAGGCTTGGGATCCTCACTGAACTTCTCACTTTGGGAGTTAAAGCACTGCATGGCTCCTCTGAATCTGCTTTTTTACACCAGGTGTAGCACCCGTGACTGCAGGAAGTGCCTGACTTTTCAAGTCACAAGGAGCTAGGTTGCTATTTTATTTTCTTTCCTGTTAGCAAAATAACAAACTGGCCTGAACTTGGGACCAGCAGAAGGGAATAGCAAGACTCATGCATAATTCAGCTCTCTCTGGGGGGTTCTTTTCATCTCTTTTCTCCCTTTCATGTCCTTATGAGAGTGGCCAGGCCACGTGGGTGTTTCTGCTGGTGAAATTCACAACCACTCAAGAAAACTGACCCAAAAATGCCAAGTTTAGACCTCCTGAAGGAACAAAAAGTCTCCATTAGAGCAGTGGGATGTGTGTGGTGAGAAGTGTGTGAGCAGCTCAGCCAGGCTGTTCAAATCTGTCACTTCCAGGAGCTTCTCCAGCCCTGTCATGCCAGGCTGTGCCAGGAAGGGGACAGGCACAGGGAGGGGGTTAGGACACAGCAGCCACTCCCTGGGGATCAGCCCAGGTGTGTCAGGCACTGCCCAGGCACAGGAGCACGGGGAACTGTCCTTGGTGGGTCTGGTGACAGCCTGGTCAGCAGCAGGGACATTAGAAACTTTGTCTTCCCTGACCTCCTAAATTCACAACCACTCAAGAAAGCTGACCCAAAAATGCCAAGTTTAGACCTCCTGGAGGAACAAAAAGAACAAAAAATCTGCAGTCACTAGAAGAGGGAGCAGGGGGTGGTGATTGCTCAGGACCAGCCAGGGTTTACCCACCTGCTCCAGGGGCTGGAGGGTGATCAGTCCCTCCATGCCACAGTTCACCTCCAGTTAGCCCAGTCCCCAGCCCAGTCCAGCAGCTTTCCTGACCTCCCAGTGCTGCCACCAGCTCTGCTCACACTGAGGAAGGCACTGGCTGCTCCCCTTTCCCAGGGACAGAACACCCTCTGCCAGCGATGGGAGCAAAGCTGGAAGTCCTCAGCCAGCTCCCAGGCTTCTCTCCTCACTCATCCTCAGTCCATCCTTTAGCATGTTTTGAGTGAATGAACTCCAGTCCTGGATCAGGACTGTCAGGCTGTGCAAACAAGTGCCGTGCTGTGCCACTCAAGTGGATGGATTAGCAGTGAGCTGAATGCTTTCTGTGCAGGGTCCCTGCTGAAGTTCTGTAATTCCATCTCCCTGTAGCCACCTCCAGCCCAGCTCTGCCAGAGTCAGACAGCTGAGAAGTTTTCCACCCACATTTTGCTCTCCTCATCGTCGCCCACGGAGAGCTAACGAAGTGAAAGAAGAAGGATTGTTAACTACAGCTCTCGGGTGGGGAGGGATTAGACAAAGGGAAGAGAAAGCAAGGAATAACAGGAGATATTAATTCATGCTGGCTCCAGCTTAAGAAAGGTCTCGTTGCTCTCTCCTTACTACAAGATGTCTTAAAACACTCACAGTGCACGGCTGGGGAATGTTATTTGGCTGCTTCTAAAATAACTTATTTTTATCAGTTTGGGAACATTACATATGGACTTTATTGAACTACTCCACCAGGAGTTCTCCCAGCAGCAAGCTCTATTTACTTGTCAGAGCTGTTCTTCAGAAATCAGTCATTTTATTCCTTTGCTTGTTGAGCTTTAAACTTAGTTTATTCTTTCCTAGTAATTATTTATTAGCTAATAATCCCTTCCTTGGGCTCGCAGTATTGGGTGGCCTTTAGGTTAAGTAATAGGAAATGGAGTCCTTAATTCCAAATCCAACCCAGGCAATGCAGCCTGGGATGTGTTTGATATGCAGTGAACTCCCAGGATCCCATCCAGCTCCCACTAGGAAGATGTCTAGACATGACATGCCAATAATTTGTTATTAGTTAGCCTCCTGCCAGTGCTGCCTGCACAGGAGCTGAGGGTGGGACAGCCCCTGTGGCACTACTGCTCACAGGGACAGGGAAGCTGGGAACTGCACATTTCCAGGCTGTAAATAGTTCATTGATGGCATTTTCAGTGCAGAGGCACAAGGTTTTAAGACAATTGCAGGTTTCACATCAATCATTATTCAGCTCAGCAGAGAGTGCTGCACTCTGGGTTTTCTGAGAAGCAGCTTTGGGGTGAGCCCTGCCTTGATCATGGAATCAATCCCAGAGAGGTTTGGGGTGTGAGGGACTCAGAGACCCTCCAGTGCCACCCCTGCCATGGGCAGGGACCCCTTCCACTATCCCAGGCTGTTCCAACCTGGCCTTGGGCACTGCCAGGGATCCAGGGGCAGCCACAGCTGCTCTGGGCACCTGTGCCAGGGCCTGCCCACCCTCCCGGGGAACAATTCCTGCCCAATCTCCCATCCATCCCTGCCCTCTGGCAGTGGGAGCCATTCCCTGTGTCCTGTCCCTCCATGCCTTGTCCCCAGTCCCTCTCCAGCTCTCCTGGAGCCCCTTCAGGCCCTGCAAGGGGCTCTGAGCTCTCCCTGGAGCCTTCTCCTCTCCAGGTGAGCCCCCACAGCTCTCCCAGCCCGGCTCCAGAGGGGCTCCAGCCCTGGAGCAGCTCCGTGGCCTCCTCTGGACTCACTCCAATATGTTTCAAGCTTTTCTACCCTGGCTATGATTCCAGGAATGGAAAATACTTCTCCAGGTGCAGGGACGAAGCACACACAGGGATTATCCCCTCAGAATTTTTCCACTGTCTACTAAAGGTCCCCAGATTCTGGGATTGTGCCCCTGCAGAGTCCAACAGTTTGCACTGTTAATAATGGGAAAAGATCCCTGAGTTTGGGTGCTCATGTTAAAACCGTTTTTTCATTAGGGATGGCATTTAGAAGAACAAAATCCTTATCCCAACCTGCCACTGTGACCTAACACACACAGATTTCAAATTTCAGCTACCAAACCAACCAGGATTAGGTTAGTTTGACCATTGAGAACTTTATTTCAGATGTTGGAAAGATAACTGGGCTCCCAGGCTCAGGCATTTACCCAGGAGCACACAGCTGGAGTGAAAGGTTGATACAGAGTGATTTCAAGGGATTCATCTTACAAGAAAATCACTCAAAATCCTGAATTGCCAGCTCTGGGATCACATGTAGATCTCTGCTGGGTGCTGTTGGTTTTAAAGTCCCAGTCTGGAGGGCTCTGGGAGGTGCCAGTTGTGGGCCCAGGCAGGGAAGTGCCGGATCTCTGGTGCCCAGGTGTGTAAGGATCTGGGATCCAGGTGCACAACAACGACTGGAGGAGCCAAACAAGAAAATTACTTTCTCTCTGTTCCTCAGTCCTTTGGGGTTTTTTTCCCCTCTATTCCTCAGTAGTTTTTTTCCCCCAAGAATTTGTCCCCAGATTGTTTCCCACTGTCATTTACCATCTTTTTCACCTTCATATCTAGACACGACTGAGATTAGCTCCAATGAGGTCTCAGGATAGCTATTTGCTTTTT